GAAGAGAACTAGATACAGGGCAGGCAATGAGCCTGGAGGGTGCAAGAGGGTCCCCAGTGTCCTCCTTTTCTCCTTCACTTAGCCAGTAGGAGGAAGTGGAAGAAGTGTATGCTGAGGACACAGGGGAACTGGGAGAGTTGTTTCTGGAATTTTTCCAAGAGGAAATGTGCTAGCAGAGCCCACACCCTGAGTACAAAACTTGCTTAAGAGGCCCTGCCTGGGTACAAGTTGTGCTTGCCCTGTGGTTTGGGGAGAGACATTCCTAGGCCCTGAGAGAGTTGACATCCTCCTTCCCTGTAAAGGCTGGGCCTGGCCTGTGGTAAATTGGAGCTTGGCAGAATGTTCCCAGGGTCCAGAGGAGTTGGTAGGGCCCCCGTCATGAGAGAGACAGGGCCAGGCCCCAGGACTCACCAAAGCCTCATCCTTCAGAAGGAAGCACTGGTTCCTAAACTAACAAGACTCCCGAATGGGAGAGTCTAGTCTGGTTTATTGCCTGTCTCTATTCTGAAGGAGTCAAGGTGTTGGTCCAGGAGACAGACGTGCAGAGAAGGCTGTGTGGGAAGCTTGAGGTGAGGACCCAACGCCAGAGATCTGATTCTCTGTTCACCTGCCCCAGGTCCCTCAGTCTCCAGGACAGGTTAGGATGCCAGATTCTCTCTCTCATAAAGTTCAAGGTCATAACTCTCGGGTAGAACATGGAATGCCCACCTTACCAGCCTTATTTCAGGCTGCTCTTTATCTAGTTAAACCCAGGCAAGCAAACTCTTCCCTCACCCCACCCCCACCACTTTAACCTGACCACCAGACGCACGGCCACTGTGGCATCTGACCCCAGGCCCTCTCACTGCAGTCCAGCCCTGATGTACTCCTGTGTCCTTACATGGGTTTTCCCAGACTGTGTTCTGTAGAACCCAAAGTATCTGCTCATGGACAAAGGACAGAGGAAAGAGGAGCCAGAGATGCCTGCACTGGTTAAAGTAAAAAATTAAATTCCATGACCCAGGTGCCTAGAACTCTTGTGGACCAGAGCTGGAGGGAGGGATGCCAGAAACCATGGGCATCTGGGCAGAAGTACTGAATAGATGGGAAGGAATGTTTGGGAGAGTGGGTCTTAATTTAAATAGTGGCTTCTGCAAATGGATCATGGAACGGGAACTTTGCCTGAGCATCTGTCGGTGTGAACGGAGTAGGAAACAGCCATCCTTACATCCTTCCTTCTCGCTTACATCTCCCCCTGGCTGGAGAGAACACAGCAGCTATACTGTAGTTGGAGGGATTAGGCTTAGAGAACACAAATGACTTTTTCTGGGACAGGTTATTTAAAGCAAAACATACCCTAATGTCCCCATGTGCTTGAGCTAATGAGGGAATATTCTATCCAGAGGAGAGGATTATCAGAGCATGGTCTTCAGTCAAATGAGTTTCAATTCAAATCTTAGCTCTTCTATTTACCACCTGGAGTAAGATCATTAACTCTCAGAAACTAAATTCTTGGATCTGTCATATGAGAATGTTAGCAAACCCACGAGACTATGTAAGGGAATCCATAGGTCAGTATATGCCAAATTCCCAGAACACTGTCTAACACAAAGAGGGGGGTCTGCCAATGCTACAGCATCCTAAGCCCTATCCACACCCCACCTATCTAAAATTTCTGCAGAATTTGTAGCTGCCGCTCACAGATTTCATTTATGTCCTTCAGGGAGACAGCCAGATGCAACCAGGAGATGGGGCTGGATCCTGCACTGCCAGCTCTCAACCACACCGTTCTGATCTCTGGGCCTGGGCCCTTTGTCCTGCTGGGGGTGCCGGGACTGGAGGCTCTGCACGTCTGGCTTTCTGTGCCTGTGTGCCTGCTGTACATGGCAGCTTTGGTGGGGAATGCCCTTCTGTTGGGACTGGTGGCAGCTGACAAGGCACTTCGGGCACCCATGTACCAGCTTCTGGGGCTTCTGGCAGCTACTGACTTGGTTCTGGCCACATCCACGGTGCCCAAAGCTCTGGCTGTGCTCTGGGGCTTGTCGGGTGAGATCTCCTTTGGAGCTTGCCTAGCCCAGCTCTTTGTTGTCCACGTGGCCTTCATCGCTGAGTCCTCAGTGCTGCTGGCCATGGCCATGGACCGCTATGTAGCCATTTGCCAGCCTCTGCGCTACAGGGCGTTGCTGACCCAGCGTGTGGTAGGAACAGTGGCTGTGGCTGCTGTGACCCGTGGTGCCTGTGTCATGGTGCCCCCTGTGATCCTGCTCCAGAGACTGCCTTACTGTGGGCAGCGAGCCCTGCCCCACACCTACTGTGAGCATATGGGGGTGGCTCGGCTGGCATGTGGAGACACGCGCCCCAATATCTGGTACGGATTGGCCACCACGCTGCTCTCCCCAGCCCTAGACCTAGGGCTCATAGGTGCCTCCTACGCCCTCATTCTCCGTGCCGTCTGCCGCCTGCCATCCCATCGTGCCCGAGGCAAGGTCCTGGGTACCTGCGGGGCCCATGCCAGTGTCATTGTTCTCTTCTACACACCTGCCCTCTTCTCCTTCCTCACTCACCGTTTCGGCCGCCACACAGTGCCCAGCCACATCCACATCCTGCTGGCTAACCTCTACGTGGTGGTTCCCCCGGCCCTCAATCCTGTGGTCTACGGAGTGCGGACCCGGCAGATTGCTCAGAGGCTCAGGTGCTTGCTTCAGCTCTTCTGCACAGGGGCAGTGAGGAGGGTGGGGCCGGAAAGGCCCTCCTGACAGGAATAAATGTGTTGCTATATTCTCCAACTTCACCCTCAGATAATCAGGTGATGCTGCAGGACCCACCTGTGTAGAGCTCTAACCAAGGTATCTCCACTGTCTGCCCCCAGGTGGCCCTATGCTCCTGCCAAACTATTTTCATCACGCAGGCCCAGTCTATTGTTGGCCTTCCTACCTCTGTATGGGTCTCCATAGATGGATCGCACACATGAAGGTGTTGAGCCTGGAACATGACAGACAGGGAGGCCCAGGACACAGTCTGAGGACTAGGATCTCATCTTTCTTCTTCACTCTACCTAGCCAGAACGTGATTACTGAAACATGGCTCTGAATGGGGCCTTTTCTACGGTGCCTGACACCAAGCAGGAACTTCGTGTTTGCTGGAAGGATAGAGACAGGAGGGGCTCAGGACATGGCATGATGTGAATAAAATAGAACACAACTCTGGAAATGAACATGGTTTCTGACATGGGTGATTAATACCTAGAGCAGAGGTCCTCAGACTTTTTAAACAGGGGGCCAGTTCACTGTCCCTCAGATCATTGGAGGGCTGCACTATAGTTTAAAAAAAAAACCTATGAACAAATTCTTATGCACACTGCATATATCCTATTTTGAAGTAAAAAAACAAATGGGCAAAAACACCTGCATGTGGCCCGCAGGCCAAAGTTTGAGGACGCCTGACCTAGAGCTTGGGAGACCTGCTGGATTTGGATGAGAAGGGAGTGGACAATACTGTGGCTGCCTCCTGAAGCTCTTTTCCTAGTTTGAACAGAAGCTGAAGCTACTCCTGCTTTCCCAACTTGTGCTACTATTTGTAGATGGCAAAACATGGCACAAGGACTCCAGCACCAGCTGTCATTCTTTATGCTCTATCTGTTCTTTTATTCTTCCCTTCCTATGTCCCTCCCTCCATCAGGTATTGTAGTTCTAGTGACACCCACCTGGACACTGATGCTGGACAGGTTTCCTACTTCCTGCAGTTTAGGTTTCCCAACTCATTCCTTTCTTATCTTCCTAACCTCTGGGCTCCCCTGGTCCCCATGGTTATAGCAAGGCTAGACCAGAGGAGCTGAAGAATGGTTCTCTGTGCTTGGTGTGGAGACAGAGGGTGAGCGTCTGTAAAGCAAGATAAGGCAATGATGTCTCAGCAAGGATAGCCCAACAGAGCCCTGAGCATGACTTCCTGGAGTCACACACTCAACCAAGCTCTTAAATCCTTTCCCAGCAGGGGAAGTGGGGGCTTCATATGCCTTTCTCTACTAGGTATATGATGGGAAAAGGATTCCAAAGGATAGGATGAGTAAGTAGAGGATCTTTCTGCTAAGGGCCATAATATCTAAAGTTGAGGGTGCTGTGAAAAGTAGGGAAAGATGAAAGATACAGACAGTAGAGCTACAGAGACCAAATTCCTCAATAGAGAAAATGGAGCAATACACTTTTCATAGGAAATATGACACCCTCCCAGGCACTTGGGTGAATGTGAGACTCCCCACTGCCTGAGAAGTATTCAAGAGAGTTAGCAGAGAAGAGAATAATTTAGGGTGGCCAGCACTAAGAACACCGGGCTGTGACTCTTTGTCTAGGCCTCAGAAACCAAATTCTTTCTTTTCTGAAGGAATACCCCAGTTGCAAGGCCAGAGGACTTGAGCATTGACAGCCTCCTGTGGCAGGTTAGAAAGTACTGGGAAGGGGCTTTCTTGGAGCATAGGCAGTGGAGGTTGCTGGCATGAAGACTGGGGAAATTAGAGAAAGCATTCGAATAGTGGAAAGATATGGAAACACTGAGAAGTGTATAGCGAAGTGGGAAGGCATAGAACAGAGCAGTCCAACAGACTGTTGCTGAAGTAATCTCTCCTGAGATACACCTGGGCTTTCATCCAAGTGCACACAGTTAAGCCAATGGGGTCTGTTCTTGAGCTTGAACAGGTAGGGTTGCATTTCCTTCTTGATTCTTCCTCCCTCAAAGTTGGGAGAAAGACCATAATCCCCCTTTCCCCCTGAAAGGGGCCCTTACCAAGGCCCCCACAGAATGTCTCAGGTTTGCCTTAATCTGTTTGGACAGGAGGGCCAAGCAGGGTGGGAAAGATCTCAGCCTGGGGATGGATGAGGAAGATCCTGCTTGTAGTAAAAAACTCACTCCCCCCGCCACGTTTGGAGGCATCAGTCTGTCACAACCTTCCTTTTCACCTTCCCACACCCTCCCTTCCTCCTCTCATGTTCCTCGCCCTGCCCTTTCAGATGTTGAAATCTGTATCCTTTGCTGAGACCGTTCACTCCAGTAGAGATAAAAGCCCAGGGGAACCCCTGGGACTTACTCCACTCCTGCAGCTGATGCAAGATGCAGCCCATCCCAGCTCTTCTGACCACTCTACTGCTGCTGCCCATGGTGCTTTCAGGACAGCCTCAGGTACAGGCAGAGGGTGGGGGGATCATAGCCGACAGGGGAGACAGCTCTGTGCTTGGGGCTGGCTTCCTTCACTATTCCAATTCTGTTCAAGAACCGCCCAGGTTCTGGGAGACAGTGATGATAGTGAGAACTAGGGAGGGAGGGAGGGAAGCTCAGACACCTTATCTGCTCTGATTTCCCCTTGGCTTGTGATGACACAGGGTAAGAGATGGAAGACAAGGATAAAGGCAACAGAGGAGGAATTCTGGCTGAATACCCTGCTCTGTTACAGGGCCTTGTTTTCTGCAAAAGTCTGCCACCTTCTTCCTGTGCTGAGGATGCTGGAACTAAGGGAGGCCAGCCCAAGCTACAATAAGCTACACAGTCTTGACTTCATTTCTCCCCAGAAGCTAAACTATTAGGCTGGAGTTGCAGGATATAGATACAGCCAGGTTAAACTATGGGTTCCAGGGCCAGAGAAGCAATGAGTGGGACTTCTCAGAGAAGAACAAGGGCCACACATCTGAATTCTTAAAGATTCTGTAAGGAAACCCCAGCTGGTATAGAGGCCTACAGGCCCAGTAAAATAAATTGAGAAGGAATCTTTAATCTAGGGCTGGCTCATCTCACTTGGAAAATGGAGGTGGAGATATAGCCTCAGAATCATAACCAATATAATGAGTCTTAACACAGGCAGGCCAGGCACTCTTCTAAGTACTTCACAAATATTCTATCTATCAATCATCTGTCTATCTCTATTTCACTATCTATAATTCTTAAAGTAAAACAAAAAGGTAAATGCTATAATTTCTCCCATTATACACATGAAGACACTGGGGCACAGAGAGATTAAATAACTTACCCAGTGTCACAGAGCCAGAATTAGAACTCAGGAAATCTGGTATAGAATCAGTGGTTTGGGCTCTAAGAGAGTAGGTAGGTAATATGATAGACAGGGAGAGGATAACTCAAATCATGCATCCCTCAGCCCTAGAACTGTTTAGCCCTCCATTTAGCTGCGGCAAGGAAACTGCCTCTACCCTCTCTTTGGCCTGTGCTGCAAACCCACCCAACAGAGCTTGCTGCTCTGCAGTTCCCTTAGGTGTCAGAGCACAGGATCTAGGACACGCAGGAGACATGGGGGAAGCTTACAGCATTGCCACTTATTAATCGTGTCACTTAGTAAGATATTTTGAAACTCTCGGAGCCTCTTGTTTTTCAATTACAAAATGTGGATTACAGTTAATGCTAAACACCAGCCCAGACTCTGGGGCTCCCTGGTGCTGTTACTGCTAATTTCCCTTCTTTGATGATTTGGAACTCTCTGTCCCTGCTCTCTTCAAGACAAGGTAAAGTTGTGGGACTATGCCAGATCTCTAGAGAGGGGGTAATGTGGAGAGTGGAAGCTCTCCAAGCCTATCCCCTGACACCTCTCTGCAGACAGCTTTGCTCTCTCCCACAGAGCCTTGAGGAAAAGCCAGCTTCCAGCCATGTGAATTGCAGCCGGATCCAGCCAGTGCAGGAGGTAGGGTAAGGGTGGCTTCACCAATAGGTGCTGGAAGGGACTGCAGCTTCAATTTTGGGAAATTAAGGGAAGGGTAACTCCTACATTCATGGGTGAATTAGTAGCTATGAGTCCATTGGAAGGTGAGAAGAGGACAATTTAGGCACAGGTACAGAATAATCAGAGGTCTGGAAGTGGCATACACAATAGAAAGGAGGCAGGAACAAGTTAGTGTTGCAGAGTTAAAATAGGGACACTGTATGGAAGGACTTGTGGCCCAAGCTGGCAAGCTGGAAGTGATCCTGTAGGTAAAGATGAGTAAATGCAAGTGTCACATCAGCAGTGTGACATGGTTAGTTGCTTACTGTAATATTCACTTGAGGAGCTCCTGGGGAAGGTCAATGGGATGTGACCAGACTGGGAGCTGGGTCTGTCCAGCTTACTCACTCACCCACTCAGTCTGCCCACTGGGTCTGCCCCTCACTCACTCACCAAGCCTCTTCTGAGCAGTGGCTCTGACCAGGGGAGGGAAGACAGGATCTGCATGGTGTGAAGGTAAGAATTATTTTCCTGCAGTGAAAAGAAAGATATGAATGTCCTCAGCTGTGAAATGGGGATAATACTAATGCCCACCTCAAAGACTGTTAATAGAAGCAAATAAGGTGACAGCTATGAGAGGACTGTGTAGGCTGTATGGCCCTGGATGATGCACGTGGATGGGAAGAGCCCAGTGCCAGAATTTGGAGATCTCTGAGGTGCTGACATTTGGGGGAACTACTTATTCATTCTTACATGTCCAGGTCATTGAAGATGAAGACAATGATGCCCTGGAAATGAGCTACAAGATGGTGTCCAGATATCCTAGTGCCCTCTCTTCTCCCTATGAGACCTCAGCATTCGATCTGCTGCTCCAGGAGCTGGAGGGAGCTTGGAAGTTGGCGGCCCAGCTTAAGACCAAGGCAGGAGATAGTGGGGCTGGAGACCTCCCACACCAACTCCAGACCTAGGAACATGGATGGATTATAGAACAGCCCTCCCCCCACAGGCTCCTGTCTTGTCTAATGTCACATATTGGACAACTTCCAAAATTACTTCTTTCTGGGGGAGGGGGAAATAATCCTGAGCTGAGAAATATGACAGCCTGAATTCAGTTTTTAAGAACACTCCATGCTCCCAGACATCACTACATAGAAGATGCGGGGTGGGGGAAGGAAAATACTTCATGACCCACATCCCTGGCTTCTCATGTCCACAGGTGACTAATGCCAGTCTCATGCTCAAGCTCCTGGCTGACTCTGACCAGCGCAGCATCAATGCTCTCCGCCAGGAGATGGATGTCCTCAAAGACCGACTGAGCAAGTATGAGAGGGACAGGGAGCCAGAATGGGCCTCCAGACATCCTGGTCCGCCCCTGCCCCCTGGTGAGTTCACAGACTGAATTTCTCAAGATCTTGTCTCTCCAGAGGCCAGGCTGGAAGTGCAGGGTTAGCTGTTGTGTGCTGAGAGAAGGACAGTAAAAATCTTGATGGAGAATAAATCTTTCATTCCTTTGTTTTGTTTGTCACTGCAGGATGCAGACTAAGACTAGTATATGCTCATACATGGGTATACTCATATGCACAGACATGCATACTGAACTCCATTCATGCAAAATCAACCTGCTTGTATACCTGCATACACACTCAGGTACAGGGATATACACTCCAATGCACACACAGTCATTGTGGTTTCACACTGCTTTCTGCAGGTTGTGTGCTTTACACCTAGCTCATGCCTTGCCTGCTCTCCCCTCTAGGTTCTTGTGATCATGGAGGCCTCCAGAAAGTCAGCAGACCCTTTGTGGTGAAGCTCAATTGGAGAGGCCTCTCATACAAGGCAGGTGCCTGGGGCCGAGACTCAGCACCTAATGCAGACTCTTCCCTTTATTGGGTGGCCCCTCTGACTGCAGATACCAGGTGAGTCCTGGAAGACTGCTCTTGTGCAACCAGGTTAATTCTGTATGGTCCCTAACCTTACCCTAATGGTTGTTTTTTGTAATTCTAGTCCAGCTTCTTCTCTGTATATTAGGTGTGCCCCTGAGCAAACCCAGCCTAGGCCTGATGGGTCACCTGCTAATACTTCTCTCATGGGATAAGTATCACCCAGACTACCCTGAGCTTCCTTCACAAACCCATTGTCTGAAATGTTTAATTCCATAAAAATGCAAAGATGGTTCTTTTTGAAATCTGATCCTATGTCAAGGATAAACTCTTCTACAGCTGGGCCTTAGAATCCTAACTTCCTGCATAGAACTTTAAAGCATGACCATGGCCAAACTTCAGACTTGCAGTCAAGCCATTCAGGCTCTGAATCTCAGTACTGCCACTTGAGCTAAGCGACCTTGGGGAAATGAATCAACATCTCAGACTCATTCTTAGCCATATGCAAGATGAGGATAATTAAATATATGAGAAGATCACATGGGATGAAATAAGAAAGTATAGACAACATAGTAGGTACTGATAAATATGTATTAGATGAAAGAAATGAATCAACACATAGATGAATGAGCCCTTCAAAAGATTGTCAGCCTTGCTAGGGAGGTAGGTACAGCACAGTGTTCAAAGTCAGTGTGTGTGGAGATGTGGTAGAGACCCAGTTTAGTAGGTCACAGGAGGAAGGGATGAATGTAGGTTGAACCAGTCATTGAAGAGCCCCAGTTGAAGCTCAGTTCACAAAGATTATTGTTACTGGTAATAATGCTCCTCAATTCCCATAAACACTTTGTATCACATAAAATACATTTATATACCTTTGCTTTTTGAATCCTCTCAAAATTTTTATGAGTAAGCCAGGAGTTACTGCCCAGTGTTAAGGAATAAGAATACTCATAACTCAGAGATAATTTAAACGACTTTAAAAAGTGATCTCATGGGCATAAATCTCCCTGAATCTAGCTCCCGAACCATGTCCTGGTATAGGAAACCTACATCTCCAGGGTAGGTGGAAGGCAGTGGAGCCTAGATACAGAAGATTGTCTGCAAAGAAGAAAAAATAATAGCTATCATTTGCTGATTACTGATTTTGAGACAAATATTCTACGAATGATTTTCTTTGCATCATCTTGGTCAGTCCTGACAGTCAATAACGTAGATTCTTTTATAATGCTTTTGCAGATTTTACTTTAAGCTGTGTGACCTTAGGCAAATTACTTAACTTTTATGAGACCTATCCTCCTAATTTGTGAGAATAAAACCTATCTTACAGTGTATTTATTATAATTAAGTGAGATAATGCATATACAGTACCTCATAGGCACTGCTGCTGTTAGCGTTTTTATTACTGTTACTTTTTAAATTATTTTATCATAGTATGGAGTAAGTAAAAGAAGAGGGATTAAAAATCCATTGTTTAATCCTACAGCCCCTGCTATTAATTAGCACACTAACCTGCCCTTTTTAACAGCCCTTTGTTACCTTGTATATTATTGCTGTTACCTAATGATTCTGATGTGGGGGGGCTTGGCCTAGGTACTTTGACTACTACCGGCTGTACAAGTCCTATAATGACCTCATGCTGCTGAAGAACTATCAGGAGAGGATGATGGGCTATGGCGATGGCAGTGGCAATACCGTGTATGAGAATTTTATGTACTTTAACTACTATGGTACAAGTGACATGGCCAAGATCAACCTTTCCTCCAACACCCTAGTGCTGCGGCGCACACTGCCTGGTGCCACCAATACTAATCGCTTTTCCTATGCTGGTGTGCCCTGGAAGGACTTAGATTTTGCTGGTGATGAGAAGGGGCTGTGGGTGCTCTATGCCACCGAGGAGAGCAATGGTAACCTTGTTGTGAGTCGTCTCAACACTAGCACCCTAGAAGTAGAGCAAACCTGGCACACCAGCCAGTACAAGCCAGCCCTGTCAGGGGCCTTCATGGCCTGTGGGGTGCTCTATGCCTTACGCTCACTGAGCACTCACCAAGAGGAGATCTTCTACGCTTTTGATACCAACACTGGGCAGGGGCATTTCCTCAGCATCTTGCTGGACAAGATGCTGGAAACACTGCATGGCATCAATTACTGCCCCTCGGACCATAAGCTGTATGTCTACAATGACGGGTTCCTCCTGAATTATGATCTCACCTTCCTGACATCGCAAAGCAGGCTACCAAGACCACCAGCCACAAGGCCACCTAGGGCTCGTGCTCTACCAAAACCTGTCAAACACAAATAGCTCTCCAGGCTCCGAGCCCCCAAGGCTGGGCAGGACATTGGTGGAAGTGTGTCTTCTTCCTCTTCTCCAGGAGGATCACTTCTCAAAATGACCATTGTCCCTAATGATTGGGAGACATTGATTATATCTAGTTAGTTCTTTATGTAATTAATATCTCAATCAGCACATTAAAGATTTCTTTAATAATGGTCTAGGGAGATTTGATTGGGAAAAAATGAACAAATTATTAGCTAGGAAAATGGTATCCCCTCTTTCTGATGTTTTGGCATCTCATATTTCTTTCTGAAAACTATGACTCTGGCACCTAAAATTCCAGAAATCTGTGACCTAGGATGGTCAGTCTCAGGCTGACAACATATGATTCCAGGCAGAAGATACAGGGGAGCTGGTCATTAGAGTGAAATATGGAGGTCCTTCTCTTATCCCTAGCCTCCTTTGGGACCCTCAGGGCAGAGTCTTAGCTTGATAATCCATTTTTCACTGTCCTGGACCAATCTCACTTTAGAGTGCAGTTGAGAGAGGCGCTTAGGCTTGAGACCAGTCCTAAGAAATTAGCAACTGGAAACTAAGCATGAAGAAGATCTGGCTTGGATTGGGCTCAGGGTCCAGACATTCTCAATAAATAATATTTGGTGTGATAGCAGGAAGTCTCCTGGCTGACTGTTGTCTCTTTGCTTTCCTTTTAACACACTGAGAACATATGGGCTTTAACTCTCTCCTGTCTCTTATCTGTCTGCATGATGCCCCTCCTCCTCCAAGCAGGTAGTGGGTGGAATACATACAATCCAGACCCTGAGGTCTTCCCAGTAACATAGAAGAGTCATACATTTTCACAATACATTTCCAAATATATCATACATTCAATAAGACATATACAGTCTCATTCTTCTATAAACACTATTTCCATCTACACCCAAACATCAACATAGACATAAATATGCATTTGAACATATCCATTAACAAAAAATTCATCAGCTTTCCAAATAAAAATCAAACAACATCCTCCACATTTGCATGAGATTGAGAATCTGGCTTATTAGTTGCCTATACCTGTCCCCTTAGGGACTCTACTATTAACCACCTCCACCATCACCTCTTGATTCATAGACACCTCTCTCTTAATGCTTTGAAGCAAATGTGGGCATTTAGGATTGGGTTAGATCATTGAAATGAATCATTCTAAAAATTCTGTTATAGTGACATATAGAAAATATCTAGTGATACATGGTACAAAGTTAGGTTGCAAGAAACAGCTCACTCACCTCTACTTTGTAACACCCCCACAGGGAGCCTCCCTGGCTAGCCCTGCTCCTGCTTCCTAGGGCAGAGGAAGTTTTTCCCCACCACATAGGAGCATACTTAAGTCTAGAATCCCAAAATCTAGACCGTAGGGAAAACATGACATCCTCTTCCACATAACACCTTTATTCTTCCATTTTCCTAAAGCCTACCTTTTTCAGATCACTAACAAAATTAATGAGCTCCTTCCTGTGGGAGAGACTGTATTCTTACAAGAATGTGGTTTTATATATGGCTTCAGTAGAAGCAACTTTTCATACAACTCTGATATCCCTATAAGGGGCCTATACACAGTACCACACAGAAATTCCACATCTACCACATTTTTAAAAATCTGGTTTTTATTTAGGTTTTTTAACTAGTTCCATCCTGAGAGCTTTGTCTCCAATTTTTATGCAAAATTGTCTTATTTTTATTTTATTATAGAGACATAGACTCTCCCAAATATGTCCTGCACCCTCAGCTAGTCCAGGCAGACTGTGAGACTAGGTAGGGTTGACATCACAATATCCCTTTTCTGAAGATGTCATGCCCTTGATGGGTGGGACAGGAGGAGGGGTAGCCCTGGGAGGATTCATCACCATTTAGTTCACCTGGGCCAAGTATGAATCAGTAGCCACACTAGGCCTCGGCTGGGCCACATCTGGAGAGCTGGGGTGAGGGCATAACATCGCAAAATACCTGGCCCTAGCCCAATCAAACATCTCCTTTTGGGCAACAAGGAAACTAGCCTGTGACCTGAAAATACAACACCTGAGACAAAGGCCAGCAGCAACACTGCCTGCCCTCACCCCTTCTGCCCCTGCTTCCACCTGCTTCCTGCCTGCCCACCCACTAAGACCCATGCCGCATGTCATCTCTCGAACGCCTAGGAAGCCCCAGAGTCGGCATCCTTCAGGTCTGCCTACAGATAAGAATACCTCCTTGAGTATCACTCGAGTGACAGTGAAGACACCAGGCAGCCAGAAAGACTTTATGATACCTGATGACACCTTGGTGAGGCAGTTCAAGGAGAAGCTATCGGCTCACTTCCAATGTCAAATGGACCAACTAGTGCTGGTCTTCATGGGCCGCCTTCTCAAAGACCATGACACGCTGAGCCAGAGGGGCATCATGGATGGCCACACTATCCACCTGGTCATCAAGTCCAAGCATAGCTCCAGATCCCCAGCCCATTCCTCCTCAAACCTTCCAACCAATGAGCCCTTCCACCACCAGGACAGAAACACCAAAGGAAACAGCAGTGCGGTGCACCAACCTGCTGGCGTGAATCAAGCCCCAGTGGAATCATCTCACTCTGTGGGGTCTGATGCACCCAAGGTTCACACCCAGAACCTGGAAGTGGGCAGTCCAAAGCACACAGCACAGATTCTGGAGAATCCTAGCATCCGGAGGCTTCTATCCAACACAGAGTTCATGCGGCAGTTCATCTCAGAACACCCAGACATGCAACAATTGATGCAGCAGAACCCAGAGATCTCCCACCTCCTTGACAATTCTGAGATCCTTTCGCAGACCCTGGAGCTGGTCAGGAACCTTGCCATGATCCAAGAGATAATGCAGATACAGCAACCTGGACGGAACCTTGAGCATCCACCAAACCCACAGCCACATTTGGGCTTAGAGACAATGCCAAGTGGGAACAATACTGTGGGTCAGAGCTGTGCTGATTTCAATGATCAACTTCTCAACAGCAGGCAAGATCCTTTTGAAAGCAATCCTTTCATAGCTCTCCTAGCAGGACAACTGCTGGATCAATTCAAATCCTCCCACCCATCTCCGTCACCATCCCAGGAAGGGCGGGATCAGCTACCTAAAACCCGAGTCATTTATACTAGTTCTCGTGGTTTATCTTCAATCACCTCAGCCAATGGAACCTCCAACAAGGTCAACCATACTACCAGGGCCAATACTGCCACTATTTCCACCAAGGGACAGAATCACATTTGTGCCCTTCGTCAGCCAGCTGGGATACCAGCCTTACCTAGTGTAGAGCTCACCCAGAAGCCCCAGGATGAAGACAAGGATGCCACTATCTCTTTAAGTAGCTCTGAACAGAGATTTGAGAATGATTTCCAGCTGTTGGATGAACAGACTAACTCCCAGATCACAGGAAGCATGATGCAGTTGCTTATGAACAACCCCTACTTGGCAGCTCAGATGATGTTGTTCGTGAGTATCCCCCAGCTAAGTGAACAGTGGCAGCAGGAGTTGCCCACATGGCTGCAGCAGTTACAGCTTTCTGACCTACTTATAGCCCTAGCAAACCCTAAAGCATCCCAAGCAATATTGCAGATTGAGCAGGGTCTCCAGCTGTTGGCCACAGAGGTTCCTATTCTTTTGCCCTGGGTTGCACCCTACTTAGGGGGCCAGGGTTGGCTTCCTGCTCCCAGCTGCAGCTACCCTGACACAGTGCCCTGGCCCTGGAATGCTCCAGATATAACTGAATCCAAAGGACCTGAGTACTGTCATAAGTCTGGAGCAGTCCTACAGAGACTACAGTCTCTGGATGGGGATCCTTCCCACACTCTACAAGCCCTTGAGATTCATTTCAAAAAGCAGATGGAATCCCTTCAGGCCATGGGATTCCAGAACCACCATGCTAATCTACAGGCACTTATTGCTAGTGAGGGGGACACCAGTGCTGCTATCCGTAAGCTCAAGAGGTCCCAGGGATTCTAACCACCATGCCTACCTGTTTGCTTGCTACCTGCCGGCTAACCCACTTGACCACCTCATCAGCCATTTCCACCTCTTCTGATGCTTCCAGCCAGAAGAAGTCCCGGAATAGGAGTTACCAACCAGTGCTTTCTAAACTGAAAAATAGATCATTGGCCATGGTTGGAAGAGTTGTCAATAAAATGGCTACACCTACTTGCCCCCACTCTAGGTTTGGCTTTGTTTCTTTAGCAAAAAAGCAACTAACTGTGTGTGATATCTCTATCTTACCAACTGTACATACAGGAACACACAAATACACATACTTCATGCTCATATTAATATAGCAATAAAAAGAATCAGTTTCATGTACCATGCTTAAATATCCATGAACCTGCATATGTTGCCTCAGACAGGTGTACACAGGTACACAAGCTCACACAATGAAAGAATCATGTATGTAGGCACAAAGAGTCAACATACAGCCATATGCATACACAGATACACACAGACACCTAGAGACACATAAACAGACCCACATCGAGGGAAAGACAATAATAACATACCCATACGGAAAGGGAACAGTTTACATAGACAGACCCAGCTATTTAGTCATAAAGGCTGTCTTGATTTCTCAAACCCAAATTATTCAAGTCTGAAAGTGGAAAAGGAATACCCTGGTGGGCCAGAGTAGGAAGAATCCACACATCAGCCAGGTACTCATGAGCACTGACCATCATCAGAACCTCACACTAACTGCCATTGCCACAGTTAAAGGACTTTGATGGGCTGTCACTACTCTCTTTTTAATACACAGAGATCTAACTGCTGCCACTCTCACTGCATGTTCCAGTCACCACAAACCCAGCCCTCCATGGGGCACAGCACCTTCCAAGAATATCACATCCTTCAGCATATCTTATGTTTGTAACTTGTGTTTTGCATAGTTGCCAAGGGCTCATCTTCTCCTCTTTCTGCCTCACCTGGAGTATCCTAGCCTGGCAGGACATGCAACCAATTGTGGAACAGTTCAGTTATTCAATTATTAAATAATTTAATACGCTTTAGCCATAGGCTACTAAGTCCATATTGATTTAGGTATTGAAGAAATGGCAATGAAAAAATCAAAGATCCTTTATTTACAAAGTTTACTTTCTTTCTTGAGAAAGAACACACGATACTATTCAAATTAACTTATAGATATGTTAGGTGGTGGTAAGTGCTATGAAGAAAAAGGAATCAGGATGAGCTATTCTAAATAGGGTGAACAGAGAAGGAATCTCTGAAAAGGTGACATTTGAGCAGAAATCAGAATGAATTGGGAGAACTGAATACACAATTCCCTGGGAGAAGGCTGGTCCAGGCAGAGAAAGCTGTATGAGAGTAAAAGCTCTGAGAAAGGGGTATTCTTGTGTTTGAAGAATGGCAAGGAGATAATGTATAAAGTGAACCACAACAATGAGGGGTGGGAGGAAATAGGAGAGCTCCTAAAGGGTTTGTAGGTCTGGCAAGGACTTTGGATTTTTTCTGTGAATGTAATCACAAGTCACTGGTGAGTTTTGAACAAAGGACTGAAGTAATTCAATTTATCAGTCTGCCTATGGAGTGAGGAATAGCCTGTGGTGGAGGGAAACCAAGGAAATAGGGAAAGCAGTTAGGAGACTTTTGCAATAGAGCAGGTGAGAGACAGTAGTGCCTGGGAATGGGGTGGCAGCCCTGGAGGAGGTGAAAAGTCCTCAGATTCTGAACTCTCTGGGGACCCTCAGGCATCTGTGTGCCCAGCAGACCACCCCTCCCTAGCCTTGACATTGCCGCTGCAGGAGTGAAGGGCAAGCCCACAAAGTTCTAGCACTTCTAGCAAGCTCCTTGCCAAACACCCCCGCTTTACCACTACAACCTCTCAAAGATAAGTCTCAAGAAAGAAATTATAGCCAAGATGGATTTTTCACATTTAGTCCGATTAATCTTTATACCCTGTTTGCCACACTTTACGTAAAAGCCCAAGCTCTCTAGGTCATCTGTCTGATTTTTATCCCAATATGCTCTGGAAATTCCTCATCTGATTCATTTTTCCTCTCATCACCAATTCCCCAAACGTTTCCACCCTACCATTTACAACTCATAACTTAGCAACAGCAAAATTCACATATCTATAACCTCCTTTCTAAATGGTCTCTTACTCTTTTGTTGGAAGGGAAATCTGGCTGTCCACTGAGGACACTGCTTTTCCAGCAGCAGTGGCTGCTTCTTTCATTTCCATGGACTCAGAAGTGGACAGGTGTCAGTCTTGCACCTTCTGGCTGCTTCTTGACCCTAGTTGTCTAGCTTCTGGACTACTTCATGGTCCATTAATATGATAATTCTGGCATAATACTCACCTAGTAAACTCATCATGATTATGCCCAACTCTGCCTAATTTCAGTGTAGGCAGAGAAAAGCATACAACTGTGCCAAAAAGTTTCATTTAAATTTATCACCAACAGTCTTAAATGTCCTCTTAGTAACCCTAACTGTCTTTTCTCAGTCTGATGGTTCTGTTAACATGCCCATAAGGAGGGTTCAATGTTACTTGCTACACAGAAAGCCAACTGCTAAGATGAGGATTGTCAAAGAAGAAAAGATTTATTTCAGGACATGCGTCTATTGGGAGGAGGGATTTGAGGTATGAATTGCCTCAAATCCACCTCCCCGATCAACAGGGTAAGGGGTTTTCTGGAGGTGAAATGAATATTGCATGAGGGGGGTGAGCATCATTACATATTTGTGCTGGAGTGCAGGTCACACAAGCATAGTGAGGAATCGTGCTACTACATGCTACGTCCCATGATAAAAAAATAATGGTGGATAAGTCCCTCCCAGGGTGGGGATTTTGTATTAAAATGAGCTAGGGGATTAATATTGGTCATTCTTTCAGCCTTGTGTGCCTGCTCAGTGGGTCCTTGGGCACAATCTGTGGTGGAGAATCGCTTATCTTGTCTTCTCCAGACAAACAGGCAGTGTGAAGTTTTGTAGTCATCTCGTGCCTACAAGGAGGCAAGCATTCTTTTCCACCATTCTTTCCTGCCATTTCTGAGAAAGAAACTCAAAAGGGAATGCATTAGGGCAACAGAAAATTTCAAAGCCCTGGTCAGCAAATCTTACTGACCTGGGAACTTGAAACATAAGAAAACTGCCAAAAAAAATCTGTAAAAAATGTTTTCTTATTTATGGAGCTGGTTACAGTTCTCACCCAGAATCTGCAAAAGAATCACCAGGAGGATGTATTAAAACACAGATTTCTTACCTATAATCTAAGGGTTTCTGGCTCAGGAGGTCTAGAGCAGGGCACGAATTTCTCATTTCTGGCAAATTTCCAGGAGATGCTGATGCTGCAGGTCTGGGGAACCACACCTGGAAATCTACTGTCCAACTCGATCCAGTACCTTATTCTTTGAGTTGATCCTTTCACACCTGTTTTACTGCTCTTCTCAAATCTTCAATATTTCCTTTTATGTCTGATTCAAGAAGACAACAGTGATCAGAAAGACTTCCACCTGTGTCCACTGAATTGACCACCTAGCCTAAATCTGCACCTCTGCACTCTGTCCTCCATTCCCTTACAATGAATAAACTGTTTCTAAACCAAGATCTCCACATGGGCCCTTGCTCCCAATCTCTCTAGCCCCTAGAATTAAAAACATACTCTTAAAACTATTTTCCCTTTCTCATGCATCATTTTTTCTATTCATTGGATTGTTCCCATCAGAATAAAAATGTCACGTACTATTTGCATCTTAAGGAAAAAGAAAACAAAACCTGAAAACCATTTAACCCCACAGTCCCACAGAACCACCATCCCCTTTCTCTCATTTATAGCACTCACACCGGATCCACTTCCTTTCCAACACATTTGCTCTTAACACATTGACTGCCATGTGAGTTGTATTTAACTCAGGCTAGTTTTGAGCCCAGGGCCACATGAAGAAAACCCTGTAGTTGGTTCGTGAAAATCTTCCTTGTTGATGTTGTTATTGTTCAATTAATATTGACAAATTAATTCTAAACAGGTGGATAGTGTTGCATATAACATGCACAGAAAACAATAAAAAGAAAGGATAGTTTTATTTGAATAAAACACCATGGCCCCAGGAATTTTTTTTTTCCTAGTGTGGCAATCAATGTGTTAAACACACTCCAATCAGGCTTTCTGCCTCTAACACTCTATTAACACTGGTCTCATTATGGTCTCCAGTTTTCCCTTTTATCAAATCCAGTAACAAATTTTCAGTTCTCACGCTACTGACTTATCAGCATCATTTGACATGGTTACTCTTTCATTTTTTTTTTTTTTTTTTTTTTTAGAGTGCAGTTGTGTCATCATAGCTCACTGCAGCTTCTAACTCCTGGGCTCATATGATCCTCCTGCTCCAGCCTCCCAAGTAGCTGGGACTACAGGTGCATGCCACCACGCCCAGATAATGTTTCTATTTTTTTTAGACAGGATCCCATTCTTGCTTAGGCTGGTACTCTCACCTTTTTGAAACGTGTCTTCCTTTATATTCATTCTCTCTCTCTCTCTCTGTCTGTCTGTCTCTCTCTCTCTCTCTCTCTGTCTGTCTCTCTCTCTCTCTCTCTCTCCCCCTTACTGTTTTATTTCTTCTCAGTTTCATTTGCTGAATTCTTCTGATGTTCCAGACTTCTAATAGAGCTACAAGACTCAGATTTTTAATCTCTATTCTTTTTCCTATATTCACTAACCAGCTAATCTTAACCAGTCAATGATTTTAAATATTCTTTAAATGCTGATGAACTCTAGACTTATAATATTCAATCACCTCTCTACATCGCCCTTCCAATATAAAATAGACATCTCAAGTACATGTGAACTGTTTAACAACCTGATGATATTCTATTTAACAACCTGTTTATTCCCTGGCCTTTTATTTATCTCAGTAAATAACTTTCTTTGAGTTCCTCTGGGGGACTATAATAACTAAAAACAAAAAAAGTAAAAAACACATCATTCTTGATCCCTCACTTTATACTCAAAATCCCATCTATCAGAAAATCAATACTTTGAAAATACATAAAGAATTCATGGTTAATGTTGAATCAGACAGAAAACAAGGACATGGGATGCCAGGAAAGAAGACTCTAGGCTAGGAAGCAGCTGAAGTTGGGTCTAAATGGGGACACAAAGGACTGAGGTGCTTTCTACCATGACCCGATCCCCGTGTGGGTCTCCACATACCACGTACGAGGCTGTGTGGGAGCAGGGTTCTTGGCCCGAGAAGGAGTGGTCAGCCCAGGACCCTCAGTATAAGGAAGGCAATTGAGATAAAGGAAGTAGAAGAGGTCAATGGTGGGGGAGCAGGAGTTCCCAGGATCCAGAGCAGCTTGGAGAAGTCTCCAGAATCCATTGTGTAAGGCTGTGATGTCAGTACTGAGGTCACAGAAGTGACCTGAGAGAGTGGGTTCCGGCCCAGAAGGCCTCAGGGGTGGCTGTGCAGCAAGATGAGGGCGGTTTGGAGCCCTGCATAAGAGGAAGGACGGGGCCACAGCTGACTGGTAAGTATGCCCCAGACTGGGCCCTTCCTCCTACCTTTGTCCTCATGCTCATCACCTACACACCTCTTTCCCAGGGTCCCAGATTTCTCTCTCCTGACCACAACATCTCTCAATCCCATCATTTCCCAGAAGCATCCTGTCCCAGGGACCTCATGGTCCCTTCCATGTGGCCCCTATAGCTCTCCTGACCCTGAGCCCTGAGACCCTCTTCATGCTCACCTTTCCTACCTTCGCCACTGCCTGAAAGGATGAACTTGGTCTCCCATCCCCATCCCCCCAGCTGTGTCCCCACAGACCTGGGCCTCCTGCTGCCACCATGGCCAAAAGTGGAGAGGCCCTGCCACAGAGCAGCCCAGCACCCATCCAGGATCCCCAGCTCATCAAGGTGACAGTGAAGACGCCCAAGGACAAGGAGGATTTCTCAGTTACGGACACATGCACCATCCAGCAACTGAAAGAAGAGATATCCCAGCGCTTTAAGGCCCATCCTGATCAGCTGGTTCTAATCTTTGCTGGCAAAATCCTCAAGGACCCTGACTCACTGGCACAGTGTGGAGTGCGAGATGGCCTCACTCTCCACCTGGTCATCAAGATGCAGCGCCGTGCTGTGGGCACCGAGTGCCCAGCTGCTTCAGTCCCTGCCCCAGGCCCAAGTCCTAGGTCGTTCCCTCAGCCAAGCTCCATTTTCCCAGCAGATGGGTCTCCTGCCTTCAGCTTGGGTGTCCTTACAGGGCTCAATGGGCTGGGTCTAACCCCCGGAAGCTTCCCTGACCAGCCAAACTCGCTGATGTGGCAGCACATATCTGTGCCTGAGTTTGTGGCCCAGCTCATTGATGACCCCTTCATCCAGGGTCTGCTGTCCAACACAGGCCTGGTGCGCCAGCTGGTTCTTGACAACCCCCATATGCAGCAGCTGATCCAGCACAACCCTGAGATTGGGCATATTCTCAACAACCCTGAAATCATGCGGCAGACGCTAGAGTTTCTACGTAACCCCGCCATGATGCAAGAGATGATGCGTAGCCAGGACCGGGCGCTCAGTAACCTAGAGAGCATCCCTGGTGGCTACAATGTGCTTCGCACCATGTACACAGATATCATGGACCCAATGCTTAATGCAGTACAGGAACAGTTTGGTGGCAACCCCTTTGCCACTGCCACTACTGCTAATGGCACCACTGGTAGCAGCCAACCTTCAAGGACAGAAAATTGTGACCCTCTCCCCAACCCCTGGACTTCCACCTATGGAGGCTCAGGTGGCAGGCGAGGAAGGCGGCTTGGGGACCAGGATGCATCTGAAATTAGGAATAGGGGTCCAAGCTTTCTGGGTAATATAGGGCTCTATGACTACCTCCAGCAATTATATGAGACCCCTCAATCCCTAGGAACCTTTCTGCAGGGGACCACATCCACCCTCAGCCCAAGCCAGCAACTACCACCACCAGGAAACAGAGTTCCCCCAACTTCATCCTCATCCCAGCAACCTGGGTCAGGCCAGCCTCTCCCCAAGGAGTCAGTAGCAATCAAGGGAAAGTCCTCCTGCCCAGCTTTCCTGAGATATCCCACAGAGAACAGTACTGGACAAGGTGGAGGCCTAGATGGTGCAGGCGAAAGCTCTACTGGCCACAACACAAGCTTGCCTGATCTTGTCTCAGGGCTGGGGGATTCTGCCAACAGAATTCCATTTGTTCCTTCACCACCTTCCTTCATGGCAGCCACTCCTGGAGTCTCTGAACCTCCCTGGCTGCCACCACCAGCTTATCCAAGATCTCTGAGGCCATCTGGCATGAATCAGGTCCCACAGTTGCAGGAGATACACCGACAGCTGCCATTGTTGATGCACCTTCAGGCAGCCATGGCAAACCCCCGTGCCATGCAAGCCCTGCTGCAGATTGAGCAGGGTCTGCAGATCCTGGCTACTGAAGCACCTCGCCTCCTACTCTGGTTCATGCCTTGCCTAGCAGGGCTGGGGAGTTCGGCAGGAGGTACAGAGTCTAGGGAAGGTGCCTTTATATCTGAGGACCCACCCCCAATCCCAGCTCCTGAGGTGTCTCCAGCACAGGGCTCTGCAGAGCTGGGCTTCCATTCTACTCCCTTCCTCCAGATGCTGCAAGCTTTAGCTAGTGCCAATCCCCAGCAGCTGCAGCCTGAGGCTCACTTCCGGGTGCAACTGGAGCAGCTGCGGGCCATGGGCTTTCTGAATCCTGAAGCCAATCTTCAGGCCCTCATTGCCACGGGGGGTGATGTGGATGCTGCTGTGGAGAGGCTGAGGCAGTTGTAGGAGCCTTAGTCATTCAGACCATATCTTCTCCTCTGCCTTTTTCCCATATCTTATTACCCTAGGTTTCCCATTCTTGAAAACACAGCTGCACTATAAACCAAATTTACTATGATGCCCTTTACTGCGGAGACAATGTTGTTCCAGAGTCAATGAGGAAGACTAAGAGCCAGAAACAGGGTGGGGGTTCTGTGTGTGACTCAACCACCCCCACCATGGTACCACTGTGGGGCCCCAGTCTGAGCTCTGCGTGTGCCTGTCTTGAGATGCAATTACATCCGCTCTCCGGTGTCAGCTGCTGCCTGAGTCTGATTTTTGTGGGCTGTGAGAAAGGGGGAGGATATGGGAGAAGAGGTGGTGATAAAGGTTATCTTTATGTGGATGGAGGGGCTTGGAGGGGAAACTAAATGGTTTAAAGTTAGAAGACTCAGAGGTATGGAGAACAGAGGAGGAAATGTTGCTGCAACATTGTGAAGACTGAGGTCTGCAGCTTTATTGATGGCCTTCCAGAGTTCCTCCAGATTTTGTGCTCTGTAGTAGCTACCACCATGTACTCTGTGCTTTGGGGCTCCCTACCACCAGCCTGGCAGAAGAATGGGCACAGTTTCTTATTTTCATTGCCCCTGAAGAATATCTCGCAGGGCTATCACTTTTAGGATTTGATGCTGATTTCTGATTGAATAGAGATACAGCAGTAAGGATTCAGGCTGAGGTTCTAAGATTCCTGAATCTCATTACGTTTATAAAGTCTCTTGTAGCCAGATGCAGAGAGTCGATTTCTTGCAACTTACATATTAAAAATTGAGTATCTATCCTGTGCATAGCATTCTGCTTGCTATTAGGAATTCAATGTGAATAAAGGAGACATGATCTTGCCCTCAAGAATTTATGATCTGGTAGCAGAAATTGTTCAGATTGTGAGTATATGAAGAATACTTATATATATAATTACAAACTATGGTACGTGCTATAAAGAAAAAGATGGTTAGCTCTGAAGTAGCATAAACAAGAGCTTAATCTAGCCTGGGAGACATGAAAGGCTTCTGTGAGTGTGTACTGCAAGCGAAACCCTCAAAAGTGGTAAGAATTAAGCAGATAAGGCTTTGAAGGGGGAAAGAAGAGTATTTCTGCAAAAGAGCCATTACGCACGAAGGCATTGCAGTAGGAGGTGCATGGCAACAGGAGCTGCCCTTGGCATCTCAGACTAAATTCTTGTTTACATTCAGACATGCTTTCCGTTACCCATGTATGTCTATGGTAAAAGTGTTACAATTCATAAATCAATCAAGGGAACCATGAAGCACACATACAAAATATGGACTGTTAAATCAGAGTTTCATCCCAGAAGGGGGGAGTATAAATATAAGAAATATTCATGCCCTATTCCTGTCAAGGAAGGAAAAGGGTTCTTGATGGAGGATGCCACTATGCTAAAAGTGGCTGTGGTATGTGCTTTGGTGTCAGAGAATGAGTGTGGGGATCCTTTCAGGAACTGTGAGAAAGCAGATCCTTCACCTGGGGCCCGGGGCTCTGTGTCCAGTCTGTCTACCTTTGAGGTACCAGCATGTGGTTTAAAGGAGATGAAACCAGCTTTTGGGAACAACTTTACGCCAGTGATTTAGGTTTCAATCTCTAGGTGAAGCACAAGGCTTCTGGGCCCCTCAATCCCTCACTCCACTCCCCATCAGTGGGGAGTTCATGTCCAGATCAAAGGAACTGTTTATGGCATTGCTAGGAGAAAGGAAGAGAAAAGACTTATCTCTATTTTCTGCAATTCACAAGGCGAGTGCTCTGGTGCTGCCTTTTACTGGAGAAGATGTACAACAGAACCTCTAATTCCCAACCTTGGAAGGTCCGATAGATATGAGAAAAACAACCCCATGGAATGCAATGTCCCTGCTTTTGCCTGCCTTCCACCTGTGCCAAAGGAAACCTGGGGGCTCATATTAGGTAAGCCCAGCTCACCAGGCCAGACCACAGGTGGGATGGGTCTATAAGTCCTGGCTTTGGAGGAGTGTTCATTTAGTGGATTGTTCTCTGGTCATAATCTTTTGAGAGCCCTGTACAGTTGCCTGGATGCTTGAAATATCTGCTGTAGCTTCATCAGAAACTGACTTCATCAAGCTCGTGCTCAGCTCCATAGTGGTGAATCCAGGAGAGGGAGGTGCCTGGGGTAGAAAGGGTCGCTATCTTCTACCTAGCAGCTAGGGCCCTGGTGCATAAAATTCTACCAAAAATTAAATTACTGAGTGTTGATGATGAGTGAGTAAATGAGCAACTGAATGAGAAAGTGGTTGGTAAGACTGGATAAACACAAATCAAATAGAAGATATCACAGGACCAGAACTTTTGTTTGGGAGAATAAAGGCTGTTGGAATTTTGGGGAGAGGAGATCCTTGCATGCTGATGTTACTGCAAGGAAGGCTATTGGAACTTCCCATCCCTGCTCTGATCACTCTGTCAGCTGTGGTCCAAGATCAAATATCTGAGCCAGGAAGGACAGGACAATGGGGTG